CCCCTCGACATTTCCACAGATTATCAAAGATTGTTACATGTCCCAAATTTCCTTATCATAGTGCATAATTATTTTTGCTAGAATACTTTTCCAATAAGGAAAACTATCATGTTATCAACTTCAACTTAATTTGCACAAATGGTTTAGAATAATGTGTCACATTCACCATTAAGTGAATAAAGTAACAAGACAATCCAAAACTTGAAATTCCAAACACTTATTCGATCAAGTCCAATCCGTGAAAATAACATAGCCGCCGCATTAGTGAACATACTTCATCGACCACCGATCTCCAACACTTGCCTTCCGGAAATTTTTGAACATATTTTCCCGGAAACTAGTGTATTTACCTTTGTACCTAAAAAGATACTTAGTAAAAGATGAAGCAAAATTAAACAACGTTAATCATCCACTAATAAAATTTGTAAAATATTGCACTATAATCATTTCACAAATATATGCTATGGTTAAAATAAATTGCAATGCTTGTCACATTGCTAAACGTATTAGCATACTCCACTCAAGACATACTTTAAAACCTCTTTAAAGTACACATAATTCATGCTGATACAAGCATATTCCACTCAAATGATGACATAAAAAAACAAATATCATATCTTTGTAAAAACTTCCTAATCACGAAACATGTATGACACTTTGGAAAAAAACCAAAAACTCATAATAATTATTAAGAGTGGTGGTTTGAAAGGGGACGGTGGTGGTCGTCTGGGAAGAAGGGATGGTAGTAGCGGTGGTGGGTAAGTGGTTTTGTTTTTATTGGTTTTTATTTTTTTGTATAATAATATAAAAAAAAATAAAAAATAAATAAATAAGAGGGTTACCATCTCAGTGTTACAGTAGTTGAGAGTTACCATTGAGAATTTCCTTTTTTTTTTTTTTATAATTTTCGATTTAATCTACCACGCAATAGTAATAATATGAAAAAAATTTAACTTATATATATATTTTTTTTACGAAAATGCTCTTACATGTTAGGTTGATTTAGGAGGTGCATGAACTTGGTGTTATTTTCCCTTAACTTTGGAGGAGTTGTGGTCTAGCGTGTTGTTGAGAAGTGATAGATTATAAATATATTTTTGTGCTTCAATCATCAGCTTAACAAGGACTCGATTTTTTTTGTAAGTGGTCTAAGTTCCGATATTAGTATTCCCTTTCATAGAGGTAGTAGTATGTTGAGGGAAGAAGGTTTTAGTGTTCATGGCATGTTTATCGTTCAATTTAGATTATGTTAGTGCGGGTTGAGATTTGTCTTAACGCTTTTAAAACTGAACTGCTATTCGTCGTTCGCAAATTACAGGGTGACGCTCACATTTTTAATTGAAATGACATTTTTTCCCTTGTGTGTATTTTATCTATATAAGGGTCCACCATGGGTTACTTTAGTTACCGACAACATAAAAAACATTCCCGAGCCCACCACTTGTCTTACAAAAATTCCGAGCTCTAAAAATTCCCGGTTCCACCATTGTACGGTAATCCCGGGGAACTTAAAAATCTCAAGGCAGAAACGGAAAGTGTACGGATTGGTGTTTTACGATGGACGACGACAACATTCACACGCCGGAGGGTTCGTCGGAAGAATTTGTAAGTATTTCGAAAAAAAAAAATTTGGAAAGAGGAAATCCGCCCAATTTTTCCGGATGTTTAAGTGGGGATCCGCCCAAAATTTCCGGATCTCTACCTTAATATCCGGAAATTTCAGGCGGATGTAGACATCCGGATGAAATTTCCGGATGTTAAGGGGGAAATCCGGAAATTTTGGGCGGATCCTCACCCAAACATCCGGAAAAATTGGGCGGATGTCCCATTGTTTTTTTTTTTATTTTTTTTTACGTAATTGTCTAATTACTATTTTTATTATGAATAAAAGTTAAATTAGTTTGTATTATGTATTATTTGTTAATATTATGTACGTATTATTATTATGGTTATTAATATTAGTTTTGTTAACTTTGTAAATTTTTGTTATGATTATGATTATTATTAATATTATTATTACTACTATTATTACTATTGTTGTTATTATTATATTAGTTATTATTTGTTAATGTTACGTAGTTATTGTTGTTATTATTATTATTATTATTATTATTATTATTATTATTATTATTATTATTATTATTATTATTATTATTGTTATTGTTATTGTTGTTGTTATTATTATTATTATTATTATTATTATTATTATTATTATTATTACTATTATTATTATTATTGTTATTATTGTTATTTTTATTATTATTATGATTATTTTTATTATTATTGTTATTATTATTGTTAAATTTAAAATACTAATCCTTGCGTGTTTTATTTGTTTGTGTTGTAATTTTATAGGATTCGGAGGTTGAAGACGACGGTGACGTTGTGAATTACAGTGCACATTTTGTGACAGACACGGTTTTTCTAACGTTTGACTATGCAGTTAGATGGGCGGATGCTGTTGCAATAAATCTGGGATTTATTTTGGTGAAATCTTCTTTCAACAGACAGAGGGATGGTCGACCATATCGATATTTAAGATGTGATCGGGGACGCAGGAGTAAGCCGAGAGATCTTGAGAACGCAATTCGGAAGGACACCAAAACCAAGGGCATTGGTTGTCCTTTCCACATCAAGATATGTTACGAGTTCATCACCAATACTTGGGTTATCTGGGCGAAAGATGATGTAACTGGGACCCACAACCATCCAAAGATTGCGTATCCAGAGGGTCATCGTAAAATTAGTGGGTTGAGCCCGAATGCGAAGCAGGTTGTGCGTGACATGACGAAGTCTAAGGTGGCACTGCGTAACATCATGGCGACTATTGCGGAGCAATTTCCTGATGATCATCCAAACATCAGACACATCTACAACTACCGGAATGACTTCAGAGAGGAGATGTCTGATGGGAGAGGAGTTGTTCAGCAATTTCTACATTTGGCGAGACAGAGTCAGTATGTTTACTGGGTCATGTCCGATGATGAAGGCGTTTTACAGCACGCCTTTATGGCGCATCCAGTCATGGTAGACATCCTACGGACGTACCCATATGTGATCGGTATGGATTCCACTTACAAGACTAACCGATACGGGGTGCCGTTCTTTGAGATAGTTAGTGTTACACCGACAAATCAGAATTTTCTCGTCGGTTACGTGTTCATGCGCAACGAGAGCACGACAAGCTATCGATGGGTTTTGCAGAGGTTGAGAGACGTGATTGGGTATGATAAGGAGTCGTCGGTTTTCTTGACAGACCGTGAGCTTGGGCTATGTGCTGCATTGAGGGAAGTGTTTCCAGGAACCTCGCACTTACTTTATCGATGGCACATTAACAAAGATGTGGAGGCTCGGGTCACTGCTATGTTCAAAAACAAGAAGATTGGTGCATCTTTCAAAAACGGAAAATGGAAACGTATCATGGACGCTGCAACCGAGGAAGATTATGAGGCCGCTGTAGATATAATGAAAGATAAGTGGGCAAGTTATCCAGCAGTGATACAATATGTAGACAACACATGGCTTTGTCATAAAACGAAGTTTGTGACATTTTGGACAAACCAAGTTCTACATTATGGCAACACCAGCACTTGCAGAGTTGAGAGCCAACATTCGGCCGTGAAGATGTGGTTTGATTCCTCGACAGGTTTGGTGTTTGCTTATTGTAGTTCATGTATGTACTTTATTTTAGGAATTTGAGTTACAAATTATAACGGTTTTTCTTTATAATGTGCAGGTTCTTTGGATACCGTATGGGCTCGAGTTCATAGCCACATTGGTAATCAAATCATCGCAATACGTAATGGTTTGGAGGCTTCTAGGTCGAAGATCGGTCAAAAGTACCGACAGTTGCCACTGTCACGTATAAACGGGAAGGTGTCTCAGCATTGTTTGAAGGTTCTCGATGAGGAGACAAGGAGGATGAGGGAGCTGAGTTATCAAGTGCACGAACGATGTGGATGTGCAATGCGTGTGACCCACGGTTTGCCCTGTGCTTGCCAGATACATGATTCGCTAGTTGCTGGGACAGGATTGTACATAAGGCAAATTCACCCGTTCTAGAGGACCTTGGTTATTGGTTCTGGTGATGATGGGACGGTGCCTGGCAATGACTCGACCGAGGATTCCGCACATTTTCGTTCTCTGATGGTGGAGGTAATCGATAGTGATCCTGCTGTTCTTCGAAACGTGTCTCGCATCATTGAAGAGGAGCTGCATCCGGATCATTCTGATCTCAGAGAGCCTGTTGTAAACCACCAGGTTTGTGGTCGACCAAGAAACAATGATACAAGACGTGATCGTTCTTATTTTGAACATGTAAACCGCCAACAAACTGAACGCGACGCAAGACAAACAGGTACGATTGAGTGTTGTGTTTTTCACATAAGTCAGCGTTCACTAAACTATTAACTGAAACCTACATTTGTGCAGGAGATGTAAATGACATTAGCCAAAGCCGTTATCGACACTCGCTTCCAGGGCCGATGTTGCCTTACATCACAGGATGGAAGGATGTCATTGGCGATGGGAACTGTGGGTTTCGTTGTGTGGCCGAGTTCTTCTTCGGTGATCAAGGCCGATGGTATGACGCTCGAGAAACAATAGCGAATGAGGTCCTCGGTTATCGAGCCCTATATGAGAGGATTTATGGGCTTGGAAGACTTGAGATCAATGTGCAGCGTATTCGATGGGACGGTGGGGCGGTTGATTCCCGTCATTGGATGGTTGCAATTCAAGATTTATTTCCTATTGCGACTTGGTTCAACGCAGCGGTTATTATTCTTGGTGTAGGCCAAACACCAACCTGCTACTACCCATGCCTCACGATATTGCCGTTGCGGGCAAGAAGGGGGGTCATAGCACCGGAGCGAGAGTTTGTCATCGCTATAGTTGGGGGCTCACATTTTATTTGTATTGAACTTGCACCAGATTTGCCATCCCCCGATTGCAAGTTGGTGGACCGAGAACCACGACCCAAGTGTTGACGGTTGGGATCAGCGTTACGCAGCTTGAAGGAACATGTGGGATGCCTTAATTAGATAGTGAACATATTGTTGTACTTTCATTTATGTTAAACAGTTGTAGTTATGTAATTTGCAATGAATTTAACTTAATTAAACAAAATTTCAACAAAACCACAAAAACAGTTATTCAATCTTTAAAGTACATGACGAATAAATAGTACATAAACGAAATGCGTACAAGTCAAATAAAAATAAAAAACAGCAAGTTCACAACCCCATCATCGCCCTCCAATCAGCTCGTAGCGCCTCAGCCATTGCTCTTGTATCACGCGATAGGCTCGGATACTCCTTCAGTGTCCTATTGATGACCTCCATAGACCGACCCATCCACTTCAATTAAAAAAACAACATATTAAATAAATCACAAGTTTTTTTAAAAAAAACAACATATTAAAAACAACATATTAAAAACAACATATTAAATAATACCAAAAAATACAACTACTTACGTAATCCGTGTTAGTTCTCTCTGGCAGTGTGCGACTCTCATGTGATGACGCAACTGGAGAAACACGTGGATGAGAAAATCGGTAGAGCCACTGCATGTAACCAGGACCGACCGTAGGAGCACCACCACCAAGTCTGCTGAGGGCACCTATCACGACACTGAAAGACACACCAGGGACAAACCGAGTCCACATCACAGATGTCATCTCTGGCGGAAAGTCAACCCGATACATCTTCAAGTTCTTCGGTCTCTTAGCCTTCTCAGGCCTGATAATGGCTTGTGGAATGCCCTGGACGTATCCAAGTTGTCGAACCACTCGATCAGGCATGTATGACTCAATGATGATACGATACTGGATGCAGCCAATGAAAAGAGTAGCAGGCACGCGTCGTGCTGGGTCAACTCCGTACGGTAGCCAGTTAACTTCATTGTTAGTCAAATGATCCAACCTAGCCCGAAAAGCGAGAAGGCGCTCCATGCTCTTGTTAGGGCACCCCGATCCGACATCCCAGGCGGACGCACGAGGAATAGCAAGCTCTCTGGTCAAGGTCCCCTGCTGAGGCCGAAAACACGGAAAGTACTCGTAGATCCACGCCTGCAGAAGCGTAAGACAACCAGCGATAGAATCAGCATCTCTTCGTGATGTTGTACCCAACTGCCGGTACATGTATGCTAGCACAGCAGAACCCTAGGAGTACTCACTAATCTGAACATCCTCAACAAACAGCTCGTTGAGGAAGGAAGGATGAGTACGGTTTCCACTCTTGTCCAAAAACAAACAACCGCCGAGTACTAACCACAGGTACGCCCTGTAATGGAAACTGAAGGGCCTCTGCGCCTCCAAGGTCGACTCCACTATCCTCTCAGTCAGGACCCCACTACCCTGCCATACGGTTTTGGTACCGCACTTCTCATTCAGCTCTTCCTCAGTCATATCCAAGGTAACCGAGCACGCGTCCCGTAAAACGTCCGTGTTAGGAGTAGTGGAAACCATGGAACCGTCGACACGAAGCCCTAGAATATGATACACATCATGCAGCATGATCGTGATCTCCCCAAAAGGCATGTGAAACGTGTTCGTGTCTGGCTGCCATCTCTCACAAAAGCAGAAATCAAGGGCCAGTCAAATCGCCTGAACATGATCTCGGGTAAGTGAGATAGACCACTGCCATCAATCGGTTCCAGGTGCTCCTGCGGAAGACGAGCGCGCCAGTTACCCAATTCAGTACACAACTGTGTCCTGCTCAAACACCGCAGAACGTTTCGCTCCTGCCCACCCCATATGTAGGCAGACACGTGACCCCCAAAACTAGGAATAACAGTACCATCCTCAGGCCCACCTGGCATCAGCTCCTGCACCACCAATGATTCTGACGAGCTGGTAGAAGCTTGAGCTGGTTCACTACTACTAACATATCTCCCATGGTCACCCATATACACAGTACGGTAATCCTAAGGGTCGTACTGTGCATCTCTAGCAGATTGACTTCCTCGATCTTCATCCTCATCGTCAGATGAAGGCACTCCAGTAGACGAATACATGGGGGCGCTCCCCTGTGACTGATGCTCCCCCGACCAAGCACCAGCAGTCCCATACTGCTGCTCATGGTGAAACGGTGCCTGTGAATTTCCTGCACCACCTAACTCCCTCCTAACAGACGCATTCAAACGTCTTGATCTTGCATGACGAGGACCAGAACCCTCAATCTGCATTAAATAAATAAGTACAGAATCATATTTCAATAATAATTCATATTCAAAAAAATCAAATCAAAACTATAATAAATCAAATCAAATAAACAATAATAACAACATTACTAATAATAACAATAATATTATTCTTACAATACTAATACACTACTAACAATAACAACACACTAATAACACACTACAAATAATTTCAACACAATAACAAACCAAATCAAACCTATAATTAACCACAAAATTGCCAAAATTAAAACGCAACGACGACAACCCAAAAAAAACAATTACAATAACAATAACAACAATTTAAGTCAACAACCATAATACATAACAACAACAGCAGCAAAAACCAATACAAACCAAATAAAATTTACATAACAATAACAATACACAGCAACAACAAACTTATTAAAATAAAATCAAGAATTATTGCTAAACTATAATTATTGCAAAACTAAATCAACAAAAAATACATAACAATAACTATTGCAAAACTAAATCAAGAAAAAAATTATTTTAATGCCACAAATCAAGGATAGAAATATTTTCAAATTAAAAATTTAAATAAAAAATAAAACATGCAACAAATCAACAAAATCGAGGACAAACAGAAAAAAATAAAGAAAAACATAAATTAAAAAACAAAGGAAAAACAGAAAAACAAAAAAAAAAGGGAAAAACAAAAAAACAAAAAAAAAAAAAAAAATTCTGGGAACACCACTTCCGCCCAGAATTTCCGGAAGTCAAGTGGAACTTCCGGAAATTTCAGGCGGAAACCCTACTTTCGCCTGAAATTTCCGGATGTTCCTCATGACTTTCGGAATTTTTGGGCGGAAGTCCCCTTCTTCATATTTTTTTTTTTTAAATTCAAAATTTTTTAAAAAAAAAAAAAAAAAAAAAACTCACCGGCTCGCCGCCGCTAACGCCGCCACCACGACCACCAAACGTCAACCTAATTCTTCGTCGGTCTGCCATTGTCGAATTCAACGTTTGATTGCTAGATTTGCTTGAGTTTGAGTAACCTTCAACTATTTTGGTTTTTTTAAAAAAAAAAATTCTGATTTTTTTTTTCAAAATTTCTGATTTTTTGGAAGGTTTTAGAGAGAGAAAGTGTCAAAAAGTGATTTTGTGAGATGGGAAATGTCTCGTAAAGCCCTAACTTAGTTTATCGAGTATTTATATACGGAGGGCAATTTAGAAAATTCAAGTATAAAAAGTTAGCGTCACCTAGTAAATTGCGAACGACGTTTAACAACACCCTTTTAAAATCTATTTGCTCTTCAATTTTTGGGGTTCATAGCATGTTTATTGTTCAATGACTTGTGTTACTTGTGAGTACTACACTACTACATACTCATCACAAGGTCTTTACAACCCGGTTCATAACTTTACTATTCTTGACCATTCTTCTTTTACCAAAGTTTCATGGGTGTTCAGGGAAGTCTCGCTCTTATTGTTTTCCATCTAAGTTTCGACTTAATCTTTTATAAGGAAAAAAAGAAATTATAACAAATAATGGTTTTGGCACATTAGCACCTTTTCGGTGTAGTTAAGAAGGTCAAATCAACAATCAAAAGCCAATAGGAAAAGAGCATACTACCTTTGAAACTTTTATTTGCAAGTTAATTTAACGTTGTAATTTATACAAGGGTCTTTCATGGCCGCCCTAGTGATTAAATTTGTTTTATTTTTTGTGGTTATAACTATAAACATTTTACTACCTATATTAATTTTTAATTGCAACAAAGGGGTATTATTTATGAGTCATAAAAAATTCCTGTATTACAACTAAAAATTAACGGAGGTAGTATTATTATTGTATGCAAACAATATACTCCCTCCGTCCCACAATAAATAGGACGTTGGACTTTTTTAACTATTCATGTATTGGTTTTGATCATAATTTTTTACTAATATTATAAAAACATACTTCGTATTTATTATCATAAAATATGTTGTTAGATAAGTATATATATATAAAGCTTTATAATATAATTTTAAAAATAATTTTTATTAATATTTAATTATATAAAAAATAAGTCAAATTAGTGCATCGGTATGTGTGGAAAGTTGGTTGTGTCAGTTATTTTGGAACAGAGGAAGTAATGCTAAATGATGTTTTTTCAATTTTAGTCATGTCAAGTTGCTACCCAATTTTTTTAATGCAAGCATACCCCGTTATTCATCAGAGCCTATAAGACTCCGAAGTCCGAATTAGGCCTCAATTGGAAGGAAAGTTCTTCCAATAAGTGCTAATGTGTTCTCATGTCTCGAACGCAAGACCTTGATTTAGCTAAGAACTAACTCCCTTAACGGCTGATATAAGACCTTGAAGAGCTACTTTTGTGAAGACTTTTTCTTTTCTTCTTTTTTTTTCTAGGAAATACTTTTGTTAAAACGTGAGCAATTACTAAACAACTTGCTTTTGATGTAAAACTTTGAGTAATTGAAGATGCTTTCTATCATTAGACATATTGCGTCACTATCTCGTGTAATATCATTGCCTTAATTAATAAAGCATGTGGACCCCATGGCTAATTTGTTTATGTAGCAAAAAGAAAAATGTTGGCATGTCAATTATCTTTCTCACGCCTTAGTGTTTCAATAAATAATTTGGTGTAGGTTTATGTATGGGAAGGGGACTTGAGAAATTGACATCCATGTTGAAATTATGTAAAAAAAAAAAAAGGGACATGGAAATAGACATCCATGTTGAAACTTGCATATTATGCATGTTTGGTAGGTGTTAGTAACGGTGAAGTTGTTATAGTAATATCTGCGGATCGATGTAAAATTATAAATCTATCCCTAAATACTTTAATTTTATATAAATTTCACTATTATTTTTTACCACCATTAAAGCTGGTATTGAATGGTGATACAAATAGACAATTTAATACACATGTATGAAGATAAATTTTCATTATCATACCATTAAAAATATACCTAATTTATCGCCACTTATCAAACATATCATAAGTGCGTCGTTTGTATTTTAGGCAACATTCGTACCATGTGGTATCTGTTCACTTATTTTGCCTTAAGAGTTAAGACTCCCCTCATCACTTTAGTATAAGCATATGTCCTAAGCAAGAAAAGGAAGAAAGCCTCATTGGCTTCTCCTTGGTACGAAAGTTCATAAATAACAGAGACCACCTCCAATCTTCTCATGCCTCAGATTGAGAAGAAACAAGAGTAGAATGTGAATAGTTGATAAAAGCATATACTTTTGGAATATTGTTGGCAATCATGCTTGTACATTTGTGCTGGATCACATAAGCAACTCGTACATCAGCATAAATTATTGTAATTTATGAGTAGGTAATCAACCTCAACTTGAATGAGATAAACTACAATAACTTATTGTAAGACATAATACAGCCTTATAAGATTTTTTAATTAAAAAAAAGGTCTTTAGAAAGCCTAGAATAACAATTAAAATATAAAGTTACTGAACAGAATTAGTCATACTGGTCTCATACTTATTGCAAATCCTAGTACATCTCTCCTTTTGCTTTTTGCCATTGGGATGTATAGTTTCTAAACTTTCTGGACTTCGCCTGCCTGAATTATCTTTTCATTCTAGATGTGCCTCTGAATGTACCATATATGCTGTACCATATATGCTTAATTTGACGGCGAATTGACGACCTTTTATTGTTCTGCCAATGTCACCTCAAAATCCTTCTGTTGATTTTGTTAGCTTCATATGAATTAGCTTCAGAGTTTGATGTAAGAGAACATAACCCCAATATATAAAAGATGATGTGCAGAAAATAAAACAGCACATTAAAGGGGAAAAAACACTTCATTCGCTTGATACCAAATATTTGCAATACTTAATCCATCAACCATGACAAGAAAATATATATACATACATGCCACAATCCATAGTTATAAAATACTTAGAATGGTGTTTTATGCCTCAAAATAGATTAATAACGTATGGTCAGAAGCCATATCAAAGAATGGCACACTTGCCACTAGCAGCCTGCTTCCGGAGCTCCTCAGTTTCCTGCTTTGCCCTCTCTAAGTTCTCCCGAAGCTTTCGAATCTCATCATTTGATTTTGCCTGCGCAGCAAGGGCCGACTTTTCAGCCTTCAGCCTTGCAGCATGCTCCTGGGCCAACTGTTGTTCCAGTCTTTGAGTAGTCTCCTTCAGCTTCATTTCAACCTACGCAAGGAAAAAAAATATGTACATTATTTAAAGTTTTCCCGTGTAGAAACAAGGATATGGGTGGGAATTTGAGCAAAAGACTCTTCAAGAGATTCATCTTCAAAATCAATGACCCTGGTTAATATTATTCTAAATTCAATCAACCCATCAATCAATTGCTTCAACTGTCAGAAGTCCAATCAAAACTCAACACTTCTTTACAAATAAAAATAAATAACACTTCGTATAATAAATATAATCATAGAGGGAAGAGTGAGTCTCCAACTCCAAATAAATAAACTTATCAGGTACAAACTTGATACGAAAAGATGTTACTCGATGTGGAACTGAAATTCACAAAATACACACTCCAGCCAGCACTGTTATGTCTCAAGTCTCAACCCTGCCAGAAAACTCATCATCTAATTGGCTGGCCCAGATAAGATGTTAGGATAAATGAAGCTTCAAGCGCAGATAAGATACTGAGATCACATATACCTTGAAGCTTCCATCAAGGTAATAACAATATTCCTATGAGATAGTCAAATATTAAAGCATAGAAACACGTCTTAGACACCAAACACCCTTTCCCCCCCAACCCAACAACCCCCCCCCCCCCCCCCCCTTCCTAAAAATTGGCACACTTGATACCAAAGTAGTACACAACTTTCAGATAAAGTCACAGAGCAATAATTCTCCTAGAAGGCTGAGATAATCTATATTTACTGTACGTCTGTACATGCTCATAGCTTACAGAGGGTAGGGTGCATATACAGGACAGCAGGAAAGTTTTCAACACCATTAGATACTTCATATTTCTTCATTTTTTTAAAGACTTGCAACATACCCTTTTCAGTCCTTCACACATTTTGAAAACAACCTTAATAACTCAATTCTTCTCTCTAATCAGTGTCAAGTAATTTTAATTAATTTGTCTGTTTATCTTCTCTATTACATCCCTTAAAACTGTGACAATGGATATGTTGCATTTGAAAAGAAAAAAATGTTTCGTGTATCTTGACCTCAAGATTGCAGTAGATAAAGTCAATACGTCCAATTCAAAAAGCATACCTAATCCTATTATAGGACATTTTCTACTAAATAAACTTTGGTCACATATATTACTAAAAACTGGAATTCAAAACATAAGCAACCCATAACACCAACTGATCTCTGACATCAACTACCTATCAAAAAAAAAAAAATTGTCAACTCAAATGCCAAGCAGGAAAGAAGACCAAACCATTTCAGTTATCCGCTTGAGTTGTTCCTCGTATGTTTTATGCATCTGCTCCTTCAATGCAGATATCTCTACTTTATCATAACCTTGTAAAGAGTCAACATCTTTTTCTTGGCGACGGAGTTTCATTGCTCCTTCCTGTAAAATGAGGTGCAACAGTTAAAAGGCTATCATGACTACAACAGAAAAGTGATAACACATTTAGCATCAAAATATCCTCACCTTCAGTTCCTTAAACAACTCATCTGTGTAAGGTCTCCCTCCATTCGCTTCTGAGACCTTGTCAACTAGTTGAAGAAGCTTCTGCACTTGTTGCTCCTTCTTCACAATATCTTTCGTTTTGTTATCAAAAAGAACACAGCGATTCTTAGAAACATCAAGAATTTTCTGCAAATACAAAATAAAGTATAAGAATCAATGTATACATTCTGTAAATCAAGCAGACTTTATTTTGTAAACCCAGGAAAATTTTACCTAGCACCATGACCACTTGAGAGAATAAGAGCCATTTGTGGCTAAAAAAAAGGTTAAAATATAGTTTCAGAACACTACCCTCAAACTTTGGTTGATTAGATTGCCTCAAGGATGATTTAAAGTGTAGATCTGCTAAACATATAGCATCACTTTAGCTTAAGCTTCCATACATAATTAATATAATTTCTTACAAAAAACCAAGTATTTGCAAGATAGATTAGCGAATCTAATTTACACTCAAAAGAGCCACCTAGCCAACCTGATCATGACAATGGTAACTCAAAAACTACAAGAAAAATTAACTAATCTAAATTCACATTCTCACCAGAGCCAGGTAGCCACCTACCTGACCTGATCACTGCAGTGACTCTAAGATCCAGTACAAACTTTGACGATTCGGAGATTAATAATGTGGACATAGCTCATTATGAAGCAAAATAAGGTTTCAAAAATAAAATAAAATGCATAAAGAACACTTGTAGATTTCCTAAAACATAATCTATTGTATGAGTCCCATACACTATCCAGCTAGCTAGAAGGAAAGCCATTTACGACAAGCTGTAAACCCTAAACTGAGTAATCTAATTAACCCTGTTCCTTGTTGGAACAAAAAGATGACAAAAAAGGAATATTGTGACTTGTGAGTTTAAACGAGTGACTAGCTCTATCATAGAGAGCAACAAAAAAACAGATAAAAGTTACTGCATAATCCCCAAGCTCTTCTATAAATGTAGGCATGTGACAGCTACTTCAAAGTAAGTTATACCAACCTTGAATCATATTACTGAGAAAAATACCCTTAGACCCAGAATAGTAAGAGGTTTGATGGATTATTATTATTTTTTTTTTTTTTGTTTTTTTGTGAAATCCATACAATCCAATATCCAAAGACGTCGTTGACTTAACACATGCATGACATCATGCAAAATGCAGAGGAATTTCACATTCAATCTATCATTCACATTTACAAAATTTATGGCATGCAAGGAGCAAGTAAATAAGTGCATGTTTATAGACTTTATACATCTACTAAATCAACCGATAAAATATTGCAAGATTTAAATAGTGCTAAGTTGATTTCTAGGGCTCTAGCCTCTAAATAAGTTCAACTTCTTCACTGGTATGATTAGTATACAAAATTATAGAAATTTTTTCAGTATTAATAAATTTAGGAAAACATCTGTAATTATACTCCCTCCAACAGGAAATAATAGTGACTGAGACTATAAGTAAAATTGGAACTGCAATGTGACAAGTTCTGAAGAACTGGACAGAGATAATTATTACATCAAACAAAAGCACATATGCAAAATTACCTTCAAAGGCTCTGGACACTCACGGCCCAAATATTGTTCCAGAGTTTCATCATCATCTTCAAGCTCATCACCTCCCGTAAACACTACTATCATGTAGTCAGTAATTTTGGGGCCAAAGAACGTTTGCAGGCTTTGCAGTGCCGCTTCCTCTTCTCTAGAGAAACGTGTTCTCACAGAGAACACAACAAGTATAGCATGTATACCATCCTTAGCCAACTCAATACATTTAACGATCTCTTTGCCGATAAATTCAGGTCCAACAGAAAAGTCAAAGAGCCCTACAGTTCCAAACGAGCATCATATTTAGAATAAGGGCATAGATAAATTTGTTTAAAATATTACAAGTATAAAGTATATAAAAATATAATCAACAAAAGCTCAAGAATTATAAAATGTAAAAGAAAAATTATACAAATTTTTTATAACAACAAAGTCTTAGCCGGCTAACATGAATCGCCACAAGAAACCGTCCACGAAAAACGTAATAAAGAAAGAAAAGTGATATAATGAAAGTGGATTAAAAATGAGTTAAAACATAGTGACCAATAAACAGGGGCAGTATAAAAGTGAAAAACCAAAACGAGGATATAAAAATAAAATTTCAGATAGTTTTTATAATGGAAGGATAAGGGGAGATAAAAAGAAGGAAGGAAAAACATGTGTATACAAAATTTTTGCTAAATATGATTTTTTTCAACTAATAATATAAATTTTAACAATGAACATGAGTGATTCAATATACTAAAAGTTTCACTCTTTACTAAAAAAAAGGAGCTTATGCAATTTTTTTAGAGCAAAAACCTGTGTTCCAGTCTAAATGATAAATGCTAAAACAAACGAAAAAATGGCATCTTAAATTTAATATATTGGCACTCATGCATGAATTATACAAGTATTTTGAATTTCAGGTGGGCAAGATTTATATATTCTCTGCTCAATTGACAAAATTGTATATATAAAATCTCTTGACAACCAACAATTAAAAATTATAACAAAATAATACTTTTAAAAAAAAAAAACACATTTGACATCACATACCAGGTGTGTCAATTACATTGATAACTTGTCCATCTTTAAGCATGGTAGATTGGAGTTCAGAGGTGCTTGTAACACCAGATGAGCTGGCTCTAGATTTATATGCCTTTCTTCCAAGGATGCTATTTCCAGTTGCACTCTTTCCATTACCGGTACGTCCAACCAAAACAATAGTTCGAGCCCCATTCGATAGGGAAGGAAAGTCCCAATCATCCTCAATTGAGCTTCCACCCATTCTATCAATTGGTATATCTGCAAAAAGGTATAATCTGACCTTAAATACAAGAGCCTAATTAATACATCAATCAATGCAAAAGAAAAGCATATCACATTCTATATAATTAGTCAATCAAACTCATCAAAGCTAAACCCATGTAAATTATTCACTGGTTATCATCAAAAGTAAGAATTTATACTATTCCTCAGTCCCTTAAACATAAATACTTTATCGAAGGACTCGAAAAGCAAAGTAGGCAGGAATTAGTGAAAAGAATGGAGAACAAATAATCCAACTAAAAAATAAATACAAACCCAACATTGGTTTAAAACCCTTCAAAAAAAACGAAAATCTTATAATCAACAAATCAAACTTTTAAGCTTGATTATAACATGAATCATAATTACATTAACTAATATACCAAACAAAGCCAAACCCTGTAAAATTACACAATCAAAAGAAAAACCCTATTTCTCTATGATCACAAATTGATCAAAAACCCCAATTCAACCTAGATTTCTAACCAATGGAGGAATCTAAATTCACAACAACAAAAAAAAGGCAATCAAAGAACATATTAGAAGTTAATCAATATGATTAATGACAGATAAAATTACATACCCATCATATAAATTCAGTAGAAAAATTAACTTTTTAAAAAAACCCAGAAATCACAGCAATTTTGATGAACAAAATAAGCAATTAAGATGTGAGAAGATTGGAATCAGCAGGAAAATTAAAGAGAAAGAGGAATTGGGGAAGATTGATGAAGAAGAAAGGGTAAAACTCACCAGAGAAGATTAAGAAAAACAAAACCTTTGAATGTGAAGGAATGTAAAACGACAATTATAAATGCGTCTTTGGTATATTTATCAAATTTTTGACGGGAATATTTATCAAATTTGAAGAAGAAGAAGAATTGGATAAAATATGTATTACTAGGATGAGCTTGACATGGAGTGGGTAAAAAGTTTTATCACACCAAATTTTATCGCAGCTGCTAAAATTGTTTTAGAATTTTGCGGAATTATATGATGTATCATATATTTTCCCAAAATGTCCTCATTAAATTTTTTTAAAATTTGTTTTCCTCAAAGAAAAAAATTAAATAAATAAATTTTGTTATACAACCGAGTGCATAAGTATTTTTTTTCAGAGCATTTGAAAATCGAAACGCCACATCAGCAAAGTGCACGTTAGCAAAATTAACGAATAGGATTTGAGAGTTTATACTCAAGCATTATAATAAATTTAATTACATTAGATAATTTTTTTTTTTTTTTGAAGGAAACATTAGATAATTTTTTTAAGTTAACAAAGATAAGTAAAATAAAAGGATAACACAAATTTAAACAAAAGATAGATGTTTTTTGAGAGTTTAATATATATAATAGAGTATAGTTGAATTTAGCACAATGATATTCCATACATTTAGGGGTGGGACTTTTCAAACCGAACCGTGAAACCGCCCGTTACCGAACCGAACCATCACGGACCGATCCGTTTATAAACCGATAAATGTAAACCGAAAACCGAACTGAACCGTTCAATATCAAACCGAAACCGAATTGAACCGCTCAATGTCAACCCGTTACGGACCGTAAACCGATAACAAACCAAACTGCGCAAATCCGAACCGAAACGAAACCGAACCGAATGGTTTATAAACCCGTTAATGACCCAAACCGTTTATAAACCGAAACCGTTTAAACCGAAAAAAAAACCGTTTAAACTTAACCATTTGTAACCCGCTAACCGTTTAAACCAACCCGTTTATGAACCGAAACCGTTTAAACCGCACGTATAAACCGAACCGTTATAATCCGCTAACCGTCTAAACAGAATTGCCATAACCCGTTAAACCGTTAAAATCGAACTGTTTTCAAATCGCAACATGTTTAAACTTATCCAATTACAAACTGCTTAATTCAAATTGAATTATTTACAACCTAAATGGCTAAATAGTAAATACAATTAAATAATTAATGTTAATAAATGTAGATCTAATCAAACGGCTTAGGTTTATACAAAGGTTTATATCACCTAGATCTAGGCCAACGACATTATTAATATCGTTTTAGATTACTTATTTATTTTAATTACAAGATATATCATTTGTATCTTTTCATTCCAGTAATAAAGTCCACCCAAATTATCTTCATTGTTCCTTGATATTCATGATCATCCAATAAGATAACACAAGATTGGAGATAAATAACATTAAAATTAGAGTAATATCAACAAGCAATTAAAAAAAGTCACCATTTTCATTGATTAAAATTCACAATACATATACCAATACATAATGAAACTACTATCACTACTACCCAGATTAGATTTCAGATTTATCAACTGAAACATCATCAAGTTTAGGGTTGCAAAAAATGATACATGATAAGATGAAGGGAGGAGTGAGAATGTGAGTGATTTGGGAGCAGAATCTTGAAGCAGCAGCCCAGCACCCAAGAGCAGAGGAAATAGCAGCAACAAGCAGGAACCAGCACACGCAATAACAGATCAGCAACTTATCCGAAGCAAGGAATAATATAAGCAGAAGGGACTCAGCAGGAACTTATTTTTGTTTTTCAAAATTGCTCTCAGATTTACGTTTATCGTATCATCACTGAGCAATGGCTGTTTTAACTTAAAACTTGAAAAATGCTGCCAGCAAGTACATATACATTGAAGTCTCAACATAAATGACAAGGGCAACGATGATTCAAGAAAAATTAAAACTGCAAGCATAAGAAACAGCAGCAACAAAACAGCAGCAAGCATAAGAAACAACAGCAACAAAACAGCAGCAGCAACAACTCAGCAGAGACATCAACCAAAAGGCAAAAGCACTACCAGCAGGCAGCAGCTCATAACAAGTTCAAGCACCTTCAAAATTATAGCTTTTGTTTTTTAAAATTGCTCTCAGAGAGCAATGGTTGTTTTAACAAAAACTTGAGAAATGCTGCCAGCAAGTACCAAAATACATTTAACTATTTAAGTCTCAACATAAATGACAAGGGCAACGATTTTAAAAGTCGTGAAAAATGCTGCCAGCAAGTCTGAAAATAAATGACAAGGGCAACGATTTTAAAAGTCTTGAAAAATGCTGCCAGCAAGTCTGAAAATAAAAGACAAGGGCAACGATTTTTCAAGATAAAATAAACCACAATGAGACATAAATACCAGTTATGCAGATGAAGCACTTTCGGCTTCAATCTCTTTACCAATAAGGAGGACGTCTTCCTCAACATCCGCTTGATAACCACGGCACCAATTTTGGGTGGTAACCAATGCCTCAACATTCTTTGGCAAAAGTTTACCCCTATATTTGTTCAAAATACGACCACCCAAACTAAAAGAAGATTCAGAGGCCACCGATGTAATAGGAATGGCCAAAACATCCCTTGCCATATTAGCTAAAATAGGAAGAGAAGAAGCTTGAGATTCCCAATACTTGAGAACATCAAAATGTTCCCCTTGAATTAATCGCGAACGAGGTCCATTCAAATATGCCTCAAGATCAGCCAGAGGGCATCTAGTTGAATCATCACATTCGTCATCAACCTCACGCAACTGCAACAGATTTTTTATTATAAAAGTTAAATTATGACATTACAAATAAAAATAGAAGACTACCATTAATATTGAGTATATTGTATAACATAAATACCGTGAAAATATTTTGAGATCTCAACGTACGATTAGAATTTTCAGATTGAGTTGTGTTTGAAGAGGCAGGATTTCTGCAGCTTGTATTAGATGCAGTAGAATAAAATTTATAGAGGTCATAAAAAGCTTCCTTAATCATCATAATCTTTTCGTCGCATGCCTCATCATTATACAACGAGTTCAACATATGTCTCACTCGAAACAACTTATAACGAGGATCAAGAGCAATAGCAACTGAAAGTATCAAACTATAATCCTCCCAATAACTCTCAAACTTCTCAAGCATAACTGCTGCCATGGGTGCAAGTTTAGGGTCTTTAAAGGCTTGAGTAATAGCGTACTCAATTTTTAAAACACTAACAAAATACAAATTAGAAGTGGGATATTCGGTACCAGAAAATAACACAGTTATATCATTAAATGGCTGAAGGAAATCACAAATTTTTTGAATGGTATCCCATTCATCAGCATCAAGTCTATAAGAAATACCCAAAAACCTACTAGTATATAGAATCAAGGCATCCTTAGCTTCTAAGGCTTTTCGGAGCATTGTATAAGTGGCATTCCAACGAGTCACAACATCAAGACATAACTTACCATTAAAAGCATAATCTAACTCAGACAAAGCATTCTCAAATTGAGTTAATCTAGAATCAGAAGCATCAATATATTTAACAACCTCACGCAATTTTTCAACACTTTCATGAACTTCTTTTAAACCTCTTTGAACAATAAGATTTAAAACATGAGCTGAACATCGAACATGAAAGAATTTCCCATTACAAGGAAGAGGAGAGCATTGCATTAATTCTTTTTTCAAATATTCAACCATAACATCCATAGAACGAGCATTATCAACAGTCATTGAAAAAGCCTTACCTTGAAGGTTCCACTCTTTAATCAGTTTAAACACAAACTTTCCAACCTCAACACCAGTATGGGGAGGGCCACAATATCTAAAATTTAAAATTTTAGACCTAAGAGACCAACTGTTATCAACATAATGAGCAGTCAAAGTGAGATAGCCTCGGTTAGTACATGCAGTCCACAAGTCACATGTAAAGCTAACTCTACCAGAAACATTAGCCAAAGACTCAAGCAACAAGGATTTATATTTATCATGCTCAGCAATAACATACTTTAACATAGTTTTTCTACAAACATGCTGCACCTTAGGATTCAAATATGCATGAAGTTCCCTAAGATATTCATGCTCTACAATATTTAAAGGATATGCATGGCAGATTATAGCTTTAGCAAACTTTTGTAAATAAGTTTTTTGATCAACTTGTGATTCGTTACCGGACTGGAGACCATGCTTTTCCAAACATGCATTAATATGAGCTCTACAAGTTGAAGTACCCGCTTTACCAGGTGCTTTATATTCTTTGCCACACAAATTACAACGAGCATAATCTACATTTTCATTACCTATCGTCTTTACAAAAAAAGTGTAATGCTTCCATATACCTGCGGTTCTTTGACGTTTATTAACAGAAGGATTGATAGTGCCGGTATTACTAGCATCATCAACCGAGACAGAGGCAGCTTGAGAGCTAACAGTATCAAAATTTGATTGCCTCTCATAGTCAAATTCATCATACTCGCGAGACATGACTGAAACAAAAAAAAAACAACATTTATAACTTATAAGTACCAAATTAAGTGACAGATTCTACTAATAGTGAGCAATTAAGCATGCATTGTCTCATGTGACTAACACTGAAGTCACGACAGTGAATCCTATTCACTCAATACCAAAATTCAACTAAATAGATAGTTCATATTTCAGAATTTTATTTGCACTAGTCAATGTTTCAAAATTCATAATTATACAACAAACGTGATTACAACATATATCCTAACAGAATATAGAAAGTTATATACGATACAGTCACATATGTGTACATTTTAAGTACTAACTTTAAGCCAATCATATACAATGCTTGTATTCCAACAATATGGGTTAAAAATATAAAGCTAAAATCCCAATAAATAAACAATGCATGTATTCCAACAATAATAATCACATAATCTGAACAACCCATCATCATTACTTTTAAATCGAGCATAATAAACAACAAAACAGCACCAATCTACCATTTTCCCGTAAAAAACAAAAATACAATCAACAACTGATTTTACTCATTTTAGGCATATTTCGACTATATTCAAGCAAGAACAACAACAATAATCAAATACAAAAACAGAAAAACTGTATTAAAAAAAAACAAAAAGGAAAAAGTAATTACCTTTGACGGCTTGAAGGAGATTTGAAGATGGAGAACTTAACAAAAAATCGAATAAATTAACA